TTGGAGAAGATGTGTGGCAGGAAAACATCTCAGATTTCATGGGAAGAATTTGTCAGGGTCTTCCGAGATTGGTTTGTACTATCATCTGCGATGAGACATATGCAGGATCGATTTATCTGATTGGTTCAGGGAGACCGTACTGTTATGCAATATGAAGCTGAGTTCACTATGCTATCCCGTAATGTAGATCACTCATTCCTAATACTGAAGAAAAATGCCATAGATTTTTGTCAGGACTGTGAGATGTGATTCAACAACCATTTATTCCATTGGGTCTTGAAGATGACTCCATTTTGGTTGAGAGGACAAGAAGAATAGAGATTGATTATCAGAATACACAGAAGCGTAGAGATTTCTTTCAGAAGAAGAAAGGTATTGATAATACTAGGAGCATCCAATCATATTCAAGAGGCCCTAGTATGAAGAAGGCCAAAATAGATAGTAGTGGGAGTTCATCCAGTATCAAAACTTGTGATAGATGTGATAGAGTGCATGGAGGTGAATGTCTTTATGGCTCCAATGTCTATTTTTGGTGCCATCAGCCAGGGTATATGGCTATGAATTTCCCGAGAGGTCCAAGGGAGGTGAGATTTGGTGCTCCTCCACCTCAGCAGAGTACTAGAAGACAGCCGACTATTGGCAAGCCTAGAACACAAGAGTCTTCTGCATCAATACCTAGTTAGTCTGGTACAAGACTAGTTGTTCAATAACGGGTTATGCTATCATGCAGCTAGAGGCTAAAGAATCTCTTGCTATGATCACATGTATTATTTATGTTGAATCTCTACCTAGTAGAGTTCTTTTTTATACAGGAGCATCACATTCATTCATTAGTCAGGAGTTTGTTAAGGAGCATGCATTGAGTGTCCACAATATGCCCACTACACTATCAGCTATCCTACCTGATGGGTCCAGTATGATTTCCTCAAGTGTATGTTCACTACTTTCTATTTGCGAGAGGGATTTTAATGCTGAATTGATTGTGTTACCACATTTAAATTTGATGTGATCCTAGGAATGGATTGGATAACTAGTCAGTTCATCTTTATTAATTACAATAGGAAAGTAGTAAAGATCAAGATTCAAGGAGGGGAAAAGTTTTTATTTCAGGGTGACCGAGGTGTATCATCTATGATCACCTCATCTTTAAAAGCTTGTAGCTTAATTTTGAAAGGTTACCCAAACTTTCTAACTAATGTAAGGGACACTTCAAAGCAAGTGCCGGAGTTGAATGAGATTGCTATGGTAAGGGAATTCCCTGATGTATTCCCTGAGGTTTTACATGGAATGCCTTCAATTAGAGAAATTGATTTCACCATTGATCTTTTACTTGGTGCTGAGCCGATTTCAAAAGCACCCTATCATATAATAGTCAATGAACTACAAGAGCTCAAGTGTCAATTACAAGAATTGCTGGAGAAGGGGTTTACTCGCCCAAGCACCTCACCATGGGGAGCACTCATTCTTTTTGTAAAGAAAAAGGACGGTAGCATACGACTCTGCATTGATTACGGAGAGTTAAACAAGCTTACCATTAAGAACAAGTATCATTTGCCAATGATAGATGGCTTGTTTGATCAACTCGTAGGAGCCAAAGTCTTTTCCAAGATTGACTTAAGGTCTGGCTATTACCAATTAAGGATTAAAGAGGAGAATATCCATAATACAGATTTTAGCTCAAGGTATGGATACTATGAATTCACAATATTACCTTTTGGGCTAATAAATGCCCCAGCTACTTTTATGAATTTGATGAATCGGGTTTTTAAGCCAATACTCAACAGTTTTGTCATCGTCTTCATAGATGACAGTCTGATATATTCTTGTGATGAAAAACATCATGCCAATCATCTTCAGGCTATGTTGCAGACTTTAAGAGGCAATAAATTATATGTCAAATTCATCAAGTGTGAGTTTTGGCTGAAGAGTGCGATCTTTCTAGCTCATATAAATAGTGGTGAAGGCATTGCTATTGATCAGCATAAGACTATTAGCTATAGCTGAGTGGCCTAAACCTTACGACTATTACTAAGGTACGAAGCTTTCTTGGGTTGGATGACTATTATAGCAGATTTGTTAAAGGGTTCTCCAAGATTGTTGCACCATTGAGTAGATTGACTCAGAAAATAGTGATGTTTGAGTGGAACAGTCAGTGAGAAGAAGCATTTCAAGAGTTTAAGACTTGCTTGATGAATATACCAATCCTCACCATTCCTTCAAACAGTGAAGGTTTTCAGATTTTCAGTGACGCATCACTAAGGGGCTTAGGATGTTATGAGCAACATGGGAAGGTAGTTCCATATGCCTCTAAGCAATTGAAAAACCATGAGAAGAATTATCTAACTCATGATTTGGAGCTTGCTGCAGTAGTCTTTGCTTTGAAGATTTAGAGACACTACCTATATGGGGTGCGTTATGAAGTATTCACCGATCACTAAAATATGAAGTATATCTTTTCGCGGAAGGAGCTGAATTTAAGGCAGAGGAGATGGATAGAATTACTTAATGATTATGATCTGAATATTCAATATCATCCAGGAAAAGCAAATACAGTTGCTGATGCCTTAAGTAGGAAGATGCCTATGAAGATGAATTACTTATTGACTCAATAGAAGAAGCTGATTGAGGAGATGGACCTCTTACAGTTGTCTGTAATACTTCCTACGATAGAGAATGTATGGTTAGGTCAGATGACAATACAACCTAATTTGAAGAGTAAGATAGCTTAAGCCTTGTTGAGGGATCCTAAGTTTATGAAGATTATTGATTTGGTTAGAGCAGGCTATGAAGAGGATTTTAATATTGATGAATATGATCTTTTGTGGTACAAGGGTGGAGTTTGTATACCAAATATGGATGATTTGAGGAGGGATGTTCTTTATGAAGCTCATCAATATGGTTATACTATTCATCATGGTAGTAACAAGATGTATCAAGAACGTAAGGGTTTGTTTTGGTGGCCTGGGTTAAAGAGAAGTATAGTTGATTATGTTGCAAAGTGTTCCACTTGTCAGTTGGTCAAAACTGAACATCAAAGGCTAGGTGGATTACTTCAAACCCTGCCTATTTTAGAGTGGAAGTGGGTGATATTTCTATGGACTTCGTGATGGGTTTATCGAGATCTCGACAGAGTCATGATGCATTTTGGGTTATCATTGATAGGCTTACGAAGTCTGCTCACTTCTTTCCTATTCAACAGATTGACTCAGTTGAGAGGTTAGCAATATTATATGTGGCAAAGATTATTCACCTACATGGTGTACCAAAATCCATAGCGTCTGATCGTGATGGCAGATTTACCTCTAGACTATGGAGGAAGATTCAAGAGGCTATGGATACCAGATTAACATTTAGTACAACATTTTATCCTTAGACTGATGAACAATCTGAGAAGACTGTACAAACTCTTGAAGATTTGATTAGATTGTGTTCTTGATTTTGGTGGAGGATGGAAATTTCACATTCCTTTAATAGAATATAACAACTTTCAAGCTAGCATAGGAATGACTCCCTACAAAGCACTCTATGGAAGGAAATATAAAACATTCTTTGTTGGGCTGAAGCAGATGAAAGGAAAGTGATTGGCTCTGAATTGGTTGATGACACTACCAACAAGATCAGAATTATCAGAGAAAGTTTGCGAGCAGTACAAGATAGGCAAAAGAAGTATTATGATGCTAAGCACTGCTATGTGGAATTCAATGTGAGAGATTTTGTTTTTATTAAGATCAAACTTATGAAGGGTGTATTTCGTTTGGCAAGACTGACAAGTTTAGTCCTCGATATATTGGTCCTTTGAGGTTGCGAAAAGGATAGGAAATGTGACCTACAGATTGGCTTTGCCTGCTATGTATGCTGTATACAACGTGTTTCATACTTCTTCCATAAGAAAGTTTATATCAGATGACCCTTCTAAGATCATAACTGAACATGTGGACATACAACCAGATCTTACTTATGCAGAAGAACCAGATCGTATTTTGAGGTTCAGTGTGAAACAACTCAGAAGCAGGGATATACCCTTTGTCAACATTCTATGAAAGCATGGGTCTGAGAAGGACGCTACATGGGAGAAAGAGTCAAAAATGAGGAAATGTTATCCTCATCTCTTTGAGTAAGGTATATCTTGTTTCTCTTGTTTTAAATTTCGACGACGAAATTTTTTATGAGGGGAGAATTCTAAAACCCGAAAAATATCGATCGTATGTGTCGCGACGAAATTAGACGAAATTTTAAAGTCGTCAGAATTCGACTCAATTAATTTTATTAAATTCTATGCGAAATTTTGATCGAAATGATATAATGAACTTATACTAATTTCGCACGAATTTAAAATTAAAAATTGGCAAAGTTAACTTAAGTACAAATTAAGCTTAAATGACCTATTTCCCTCATGACTCTTAAGAGAAATGTTAGGATCAAGGGCACATGTGTAATTAGCCTTTTAAATAATTCTCTTAAGACATTTGAGCCTAGCAGTGATCTACTAGAGAGAAATGAAAATAAGAATTTTTGGGGAACGAGGTATTGAGCGCAGGTAATTGATTTGGGACTGTTGAGAGGAATTAAAAAATTATTTTTATTTTTTATTAAATAAAAATTTGAAATATAAGAAATTATATTAAATAAATTTCATAAAATTTTAAGACACGTGTCCAAATTTTTTTAATATTTTTTTAATCTGACATGTCTTTAGCGTGTCGAATACGTATCGGAGGCATGTCGGACGTATGTTGTATCCGATACGTGTTGGACACTGCATACCTCTTTAAGGAGATATATATTGTTACATCATAGATCTCAGGGCATGACACCTTCGAAAAAGAAAAATTGTATCATGTTACTGATGACAACTGCAACAAGATTATTAAAAAATTTAGATAACAAGAGATTGTTCGGCAAGGACAAAATAGTTCAAGTATCCATGATAGCACAAAGTTGTAGTTAAAGTTTTTTACAATTAAAAAGCTACAACAAGATATCTTATATGATATTATTACCTTGTCAATCCACAAATCGACCAAACAAAGAAGAACATTTTGATTGATGGAAAGACCAGCCTGTTGCAGTGCCACTATAAGAGATGGTTCAGAAGCTAGATGCCCAAGATAATTGGTATTCATGACCAACAGCCTTGCCAGAATAGCTCCAGAAGAAGTGCGCACTGCTGTCCTAGAAGGATTACGATCATCTTCTCCACTCAAGCATAACAATATGAGTTTCTACCAAAGCAGCATTTTATATTGTGAACTGGGATAAGATTAACTTGATGCAATTAGTAATTCTAATAACAAAATGATGATCAACAAACCTGAAGAACTGCAGAAATCAATGGAGGCGCCTCCAGGGGAAAGCACTGAATACCAGGTGAGCTTGATTAATAAACCACTTTTAACATAGACAGAAAAGTGCAATAGGAAAACAATTGCATAGAAAGCCGATAAGCTAATCTCATCTATCCATTAGACTCAAATGAAACTTTAAACAATTTAAATAAGCTGAATGGGAAATCCACTGCCTGATAAGAAAAGTATGAAAGATTAAATACATAAAATCAGACAGAAATGTGAAACTAACCCTAATCTTTTGACCCCTTCCCCAGTTCCATTATCTGTTATAACAGATAGTGCCAGTAAATGCAAACTCCGTTATTTTTTAAGAAAAGTGAAATTAACAAAAAAATGAATCCCAAAGTTTGAAATTGTCCAATTGACTACTAAGTCATTTTCTATTTTTAAGGTCAGACATAAGCCACGATATGTTTTCAAGCATAAGCCTCATAATCTATGTTGCACCGATACGGATACGGCGATACGGATACGACACGTTACGGATACAGGACACGCCAATTCTTAAAAATATAGGATACGGCGTGGATACGGCATTATAATATATAAATAATACATAAAAATTAAGAAAGTAATCAAAGTGTAATATTTGAAATGACAAAAAATTGAAATAAAAGTAAGCATTAAATATTTAAATGTCTAGTACATCAACAAAAATAAGAAGATAAAGTGTCCAGCACATGAAATTTCAACTATTCAATAGAAGGAATGATAGGATTAGCTTCTTCAGTGGTTTGTCTTTGAGTTTCTATATCATCTTCAATAAATATCATAGCTTCTAATTCAGCGCTTATAGTTGAAGGAGCGCTCGATGACGCGAGCAATAGAAGCGAAACAGGATCATCCTTATCGCTCGGTATTAGCGCTAGCTGGTATTGTACTTATTGCTTGGCTCGAACCTCCGCCAGGGGGCAGCGCCCCCTTGACCCTCGCAGAGTTGCAACATATCTACACTTTCACTAAATTTTTTCATGTTTCAAATTCATATGTTTTAATTTTATAAATCTTTTTGTAGATAATGAGCTCTAGTGGATAGAAAATTGGTTTATGATATGGTCCATCCGAAAATCAATATGAATGATAACAAACCTTTTATGGGGTTATGTTACAAAATAGGTAAAAACATCAGAAGGGGGCAATATTGATTCAATGCAATTTTTGTATGCAACATACAAAGGATCATATTATAGATGAAAGCTCATTTGTTGAAGATTAGTGGTCATGGAATCAAAGTTTGCTCGAAGATAAAGCTCATCACAAATGGACTGATTACAAAGAAAAATCAGTGAAGATGAACAAGGAGTAAACAAGAGCTTCCAAAACATATTCCACATTCCAAGCAATCAATGCTTCATATCCTCACCATCTTCTTCAATTAGATGTGATGACAGTACTCGATACGAACAAAGGCTTCGAACTGGAGGATTGAACCAAAAAGAAAGAACACATGTTGTTAGATAAGTGCTTTGGGAGAAACATCTTAACTTACAAAGGAGAACAACTAACGGGGAAAAATGCTAAGTCGTTTTACCTCAGTCGGCTTCCTTTTAACCTAGCAAGGAATCCACATTACAAGAATCCTTCACATATGCATGCAATAACAATCTTGCAGGATACTATGCCATCAGGATAATAATGTCATTAGAACGAAGTTGTTGCAAAGAGAGAGGACAATATTGAGAACTTGCTCGCCTACTAGAGGAGTTTGGAGGAAAAAAGTTACTTGGTTGTGATGGTGGATAGTATCCACAAAGAAGACACTTATCAACTTCATGGCTGTAACAGAGAGCTTCCTATGTTGTCAAAACTGAAAACGTGAAGTGACAGTACATAGGATAAGTTCTACATTTCTAATTTAATCAAAGAAGTTATCATATATGTGCGCCTCAAACATCATTCAGGTCATTACTGATAATGCACCTGTTTGGTAGAGCTGGCTCTACTTGAGAGCAAGCATATCCTCATATTTTCTGGACACCATTGTGTGTGCATACACTTAATCTTGCTTTGAAGAACATTTGTGTAGCTAAGAATACCGAGGCAAATGAAATCACCTATAATGAATGTCATTAGATCACATTGATTGCTGGAGATGCAATTTGTAATTATGAATTTATTATGAATCAACTCCATGAGACTCTTATGTTTAATGATTCTCTATTTAAAGATGCTGCAGTTGCTGAAACTGGTTCCTCAGTTTATATAGTGATGTGAGAAGATTAAAAAAATAAAAAATGCTCTCAAGGTATGGGACAGTGACAAATGGTCATGTTATAGGAAGATGATATGAAAGGCTAGTATGTAAAAGAGAACTTTTAGATGATTTATAGTGGGATGAGATTGAAATACCATCATAAATTCACAGACCAACATTTTATAGATGTTGAGAGTAGCTGATACAGAATAAGTCTTGTTACATCTCATCTTATGAGATGTGGTCAATGCTAGCCAAAGTAAAAGAAATTATATATAGACATGAGAGGAGGCACTTCATGAAGACTCAAGCTTTTGGGATTTATTATGCACTATTCTTAGAAATAGTGGAGCAAAAGCAATACACCTTTACATTGTTTGGCTCACTCACTAAATCCAAGTAAATTTCAACATTTTTCATTATGAAATCACAATTTGTTTGTTCTGGTAATTCAATATTTTTATTATTTTTTTAAATGTATACTTTTATGATATATCACTACCAAAGCACTGCTCAAGAGGACACTCAAAGAGTGTCTTCTCCACAAGAAACCTTTAAAATTTCAAATACGGCGAATGACATGTTGTTAAGAAAGCGTTGAGCGCAAGACATCTCCTTAGTTGATTTGGGAGAGCTACACAAAAAGATGTCAATAACTTTCCACAGTTTTGTGCCGCTAAAATTTTTTGGTTATGTTAGAGGAATTTGGTGACCAACGAGTCCTTGTCGACGGTGATAGGTCTGGCAACGATAGAGTTTGCACAGAAAAAGGAAGGTGAGTTAAACATGGGAAGAAGCCCCCACAAACAACCTCTTAACTTTCGAGCAATCCCGGCGCGATAAAAATTGCCCTTCGTTCCGAGAAGTGTTCAATCCCATCCTGTAGTGGTGAGAAGGAAATGGTTAGGGTAGCCTAACTATACTCAGAATTCTATTCTCCTCAAGTCCAGGAATGAGATAGAGGAAAATGAGAAAGTAATACTAGACCCCAACAACGGGCGCTGAACAAGATATCTACGCGTTTTAAACCCCGTTCTGCAATCACTAACCCTCTCTCGTTCTGCTCGCCACGAAAACTTGACCAACTTAAAGGTAAAAGTCGAGACAAACAGGATGCGGATGATGGGGATGCTGGTAGCGACTGGGATTTGAATTCTGAGGATATGGGAATAGTAATATGTTATCTTTCACCTTGAATGCTAAGGGCCTAATTAGAAGCTACAATATTGAGTTTTAGAAGATAGGAATAAGCTGCAGACAAATCAAACAAACAGTCAAACCCCATTGACACAAAGCCAAGTTCCTATCATTCCTTCTATTCGAAGTAGTTGAACATTCATTGCTGGACACCTATTCTTATTGTTTGTTGGATGTACTAGACATTTGTGAGAATTATGATCTCAAAGTATGCTAGGTGCAATTTTTGATTTCCATATTGTGGTTTTGATCGATTTCAATATTACACTTCGAACGTGACTTTCTTTAATTCTTATGCTATTGAATTTAATAAGGTATAGAAGAATCAACCATGCCGTATCCATCGCCTCTGCACTATCCTAAAGTTTTTAAGAATTGGCGTGTCCCTCATCCGTAACGTGGCTCGTAATCCGTAATCGCCGTAAATCCGATATCCGCTCGCGTGCATCACATAGATATTGATGTCTCTGAGCATTGAAAACTACTGAGTCGTGGCTTAGTCGGACCTTAAAAAATAGAAAATGACTAGTAGTCAATTGGACAATTCAAACTTGGGATCATTTTTTTGTTAATTTCACATTCTTAAAAAAAAACGGAGTTTGCATCTTTATCAACACTAGGGTATTCTCGAATGGGGGTCTCTCACACCAATCTATTCGCATCCCTTAGTTAGATCCGAACCCCGAGGTGGTAGCTGCCCGAACCGTCCAATTCGGGCCTCGAAGCGCGAAATCTGAAATCAAATTCCACTTGAGTAGATTTTGTTTGCTTGCTCTATAATTGATGTAAATTGGTGGACTTCATAACAAAATCTCCGCTCCTATTATTTTTTACATTTGTATATTTGAGACCTCAAATGTTAGCCTAAATGTGACTGATTTGTGGCTGAAATGAGTTCGATTACGAGCCTTTTGAACTTGAGTTTGATTTTGAGTTCGATTTGCGTCCGGTCCGAGTTACATTTTTCATTGATAATTATATACCTCAAAATGGTTGCCTTTGAATTGTGTCAATATTGTTGTTGGGTCTGATCGTTTTTATCGTCTCTACGGGATTCGATTTGGAATTTGATTCATTATTTTTTTAAATTTAATATTTAATTTTTATTTAAACCTGTGCAAATATTGGTTAATAACAGAAATAATGGAACCGGGGAGTGGTTAGTCCCAAAAGAAAATAAGGGTTAGTTTGTAGCCACCCATTTTCTTCTGATTTTATACTTTCTAAACCTTTCATACTTCTTATCAGCAGTGATTTTACACTCATTCAGCTTTATTGGTAAAATTCAGAGTTAAAAGTTTCAATTTGAGTCTAATGGATAGATGATGCAGCTCTTTACCGACGTATCGAGGCAATTTCTTATCGCAGATATGTTTCCTATTGCAGCTTTTCTGTCTATGTTAAAAAGGGTTTAGTTAATTCAGAGCTCACATGAATGACTCCAGTGGCTTATCCCCGGAGGCGGCTCCCTTTGATAGTTCGCAGTTTCTCAGGTTTGTTGATATCATCAATGTCTTGTTATTGATAGCAGAGTGTAACTAATTGCATGGTCCAGAAGTTTAATCTTAGTCCCAGTGACACATCATCAATAAAAATTGCTAGCGCTCACACTCATTG